CAACTCAGGCTCGCCTGGTGCATGATGGGACTGACTCGCGAAGAATATGATTCAGAAGAAAGGAAGAGATCAAAGGAGGAAAAAGTTTTCCTTATGACGAATCTGAGGGATCTGATAGTCCAGGAGGGAGCAGCAGTAGCGTGTGCAAAGCGGAGAGACGCTCTCTGTTTCATTCGATTCCTGATAGAGCAGATTTCAGTACCTGCAATAAGCACTTGTGTTAAAATGTTGAAGGAAGGCGATGAGCGAACGAAAGCCATGTTCTTGCTAGCAATGCTGGATATGCAGCAAAGTAAACCGATGAGGGTGAACATGAAAGAACCTGAAGAATTGGAACCCATGAAAAAGATAGACGAGATCAGGAGATTCTCAAACAAGGAGTTGAGGCTCACTAAAGAATCTATGGGAGCATTGCCAAAATCCAGTGAATACTGTGGACCGATCAAGAAGAAGTCATATAGCTATGTATCCGGGATTATAGGGATGGCATACAATCCTTTCCTGAGTGAAGACATACGTGATTGCTTCTTTGATTATGAGCAGGCGGTGTTACTAAGATTCTGGACGTCCAGAATTGTGACGACTAAGAGCGTTAACAATCCACAGGCCAAATTGGGATTGGTCTTGGAAGAAGAGGTGACTGCACCTTCAGTACCAAAATCCGACAAGAGAGTGGAATTTGGGTTGGGATTCTCAGATGAATTACTGAGAACGAGCTTGATGGCAGTGTGGGAATTGATGAAGCCATCGTGGTGTCCTAGTCCCAACGCTGACTCAATATTACGGGCGACACAGGACATACAGAGGGAACTGAATGTGGACTGTAACCTGCGTGACCTCAACATCATATATAATGTGATGATAACAGCCTCTAAGAGCAACGGAGAAGATAGAGTGGAGTTGCCTGGCTGGGGACCAGAAGACTGGGTCAAACCTGGTAGCTGTCTGGCGGAAGTCTGTGGACTAGAGGGTCACGTTTGTGGAAGTCTAGACTGTGTGAAAACCCTGGAGAAACAACACAAGCAGTTGACGGTATTGTTTGGAAATGTAGTGATGAAAGCAAGAACGGAAACGGAACTGATAGCAGATTGCCATGGAGGAACCGATGTGAATCTAGTGACAGCACTAGGATTCTACAGCATGTTTGGTTCTTTAGAGTCACTATTGAATCTAGAACAGAAACATGAGATGGTCACAGCCATCAGCGTAGAAGTATTCCCAGGAGTTCTGCAGACTGAGCAGAAGTATATAGGAAAATGGAGGGAAGCAATCGAAACGGAGATGAACATCAGACACAGCGAAACTTATTGTAGACCATCAGGAGCACGATATTTGGTGGGTTCAACGTTGGCTCCAATGTGCAAGAGCAGATACCCTGTACATTTCGTGGCTGTGGACGTGAAGAGTACAAGAACGATCGTGGATCAAGCTTTCTCAGTGCCAAAGTGCGTGAGATTGGCGAGAATGTCTGAAAAGTCTTACGAGTTACTATGTAAGATGTTCTCAGCAGTCCCAGAAAGAACCAAAGAGGAGTTGGAGTCAATACTAGGAAAGAAGTTCATGGGATATGTGAGCGGGAACTTCAGTGACTTTGAAAAACAGAAACAGAGAGGATCAACTGTCACAGCTTACAATGCAGTAGATGAGAATGATGAGATCCACCGAGTGATGATGGAAGTGGAGCCATTGCTGGAAGCTTCGGGAAAACGGAATTGGAGGAGCATCATGTTGACACATGACGAGTTTCCTTGCCACTGCTTGCTGCAGACCTGGTGGTATCCCAAGCGTAGTAATCTGGTGTTGATCTGGGACTCTGGAGAGCTGCTCTCCATGGGTTTACCAGATTCATCACAGCCCATAACAATAGTGATAGTGGGAGTTATGATGGCGATACGATGGCTGGAAGCTCATGTGAGAGAAAATAATAGACAGGAGGCACCGACGAGAGAACAATTGCAGAAATTAGATTGTCTAAAAGATTTAGATCTTTTTGAGACAATGTGCAAAGTTCTAAACATTCCGATGGAAGTGAAGAAGATATGGGCAAGAAAACGATTGATGCCATGGTTCAGAGCTAACATGACTGCATGGTTGTACGAGTATGCGAAAAAGCATATGTCGAAACATGGCAGAGTGTACAGTGGATATCAGCTGGACATTGGGGCAGGAGCTTTCAAGCGAACTTTCGTGACCCATCGGAATGCAGTGACCACCGCTGTGAAAAGAATTTCCAGGACGAGCGAGCGTAGTGGAAGTGAGAGGGCAGAGATGCTGAAAGAAGATTTGGAAAGAAACGTGGCGTTGTGTCTCCACAACAGCTTCTGTAGAAACAGAGAATCAAACGTGGATCCCCTACCTTGCTGTAAACAGAGGGTGGAAGAGCAGAAGTGTTGGAGGACGGCTTCCAACAGCGTCAGGATAGTCAATGACGTGCTACAAGACACGGAGACCGAGAGTGCAGAGTCAGCGTCACAGGAGGAGGAAATGGAGCATTGATGAATGGTCGAGAAAACAAGAGGCAACAAGAAAGAAAATTAGAAGAGTTTAGAAGTTTTAGAACTTCTAAACGACGAAAAAAGAAGAGAACAAAGGGATGATGAAGAAAAGTTAAAACTCAAAATTGTTTTATGTGTGTGAAAAACTCAAGTGAGAAACCAAGCAACCAAGTTGTAATTGAAAACTGAAACATTTAAGTTGAGTTTGGAAATTGTTGCATTTATAAATTTGCATTTTGGTTTTAGTTGAAGTGGCTTTAGAGACACTCACTTATTATTTATTTAGAAAGGCTTGAGGGAAGAGTATATTTAAATATTCCAGCCTGCATGATTGTTTTTAATCACTTAGGAAGACTGATCACTTTGTGGTGACATGAAAAACTGGAGTAACTTCTTGAGGAGGGAGGTTGTTGCATTGTTCTTTCTAACCACAAAGTTTCTTAGTTTTAATATTCAGGACAATAAACAAGCAAGATTTCCGAAGGGAAGGAGCATAGTAGGATAATTTTAGCTTGTTGGTTGGCAGGACTGTCCTGCAAGCCAACACCTTTTAAATCTAGGAGAAAAAGTTTCAATCGGGATATTGACACTGGAAGTCAGAAAATATGTTTTATCTTAAGTCATATCCTCAATGTGCAGATTAATGAAAGAATTTGAAGGCTATAGTGATGTAGTATGATGCCATTTATATTCTGCAGTGAGTCGATGTGACGTAGGTAAAAGTAATTTCGTGCATTTTGTAAATTCTGTTCGATGACACTGTAACCATTTAGAACATTGCGCGATTCAATGAGGACATTGACCGGACTGTCCGGGGAGTATGTGACATTCGACCAGAATGGCCAAAATGCAGTCTCTGCAGAATTCGGTATTTTAGCAGCAAGCCTTCCGAATTGGCGATTTAGAACGGATAAGGACATTATTTGAACGATTAGCCAAACGGTGAAGGCTAGAAGATTCTGGAATTCTAATTTTTAAAAATTCGAATTATGACGTCATATTTCTGAGAAACGTCAGAGACGGCCATTTTAGCTAAAATAGCAGAAAGAAAGAGAACAACTTTATCTGCGATTACTAACAGTACGAAAATCGAGACTAAAAAACAACAACGAACTACCGAACAGCAGAGGACGTTCCGAGTTGCAACTATTGTGCTGTTACAATAGTTGCAAGGCCGTTGCGAACAACGGTGAAGGGTAAAAACCAGCCCTCCGAGTTAGCGTGAACCTGAGGTTAAGGAGCTTGATTCGCCGGATTCAAGAATCCGGAAGGGTCTCGGGACGGGAACTTTTATGAACTTGTATTGAATTTTAGCATCCTGTCATGTCCTGACTTGAATTTAACTGATATTTTGATTAGTTTTGACAAGGATGAGGTGCTAGGAGTTGGGGGAAAGGGTTGATCCATCTTCGATGGAGATGATGATTTTTATCTACTGAACAAAAACAATAGTAATATGATAAGTAGTAGCCCTGTTTTTAGGAGTGACCTCGTGGTCTGGGGATACTGAGACCCAGCCATGAGCTCACTAACTTTGCATGTAATTCAGTTAATTTGAGCGTTCTGGTCGAAGCCGGAGAACAGTAACGTTTTTGTCAGCCTGATGTAAGAAAGACCACCGAAAAGTACTGGCTTGGTAGAGACGGTGAAAAACATGCAAAGCTCTGTTTAGACGCTAGCCAGTCGTGTTAAGACTTAGTTTTGTTATCCGTCGATATGTATCTTCCGGGCGAATGTTACAAAGCCACTTGACAGACCTGTCTTCAAAAGCACCCAAAGGGCGCTCGACGCTCAGTCACAAACATCAAATATAACATATCTGTTAAATAAGTTTGAGAAAATTGGTTTGAGAAGTAAGTTTGAGAAAATTGGCAAAACTTCTTATCGAAAAAATTAGCCTAATTGTTGTGATAAGAAGTTTTGCCAATTTTCTTTATAAAATCAAGGAGTGCACTGTGTTTTTGATGCATTAATAACACCCATGATTGAGACACAATTTCCCGAAGTTCGATTACAGTCGGGACCTGTTTTTTGTGGAAATGAAAATTTTCGACCATTTCATACATTCGTGGTAACTTTTTTGTCAGCCTAGATCTGGCACAAATATTCGCTTGTTTGCATTTTGAAAGCTTCTGGAAAATTTAGTTTGTATTTTGAAAATTCTGCTTTGCCTATGTGCTTAGATGATTATCTTTAAGAGTAATGAACGTTGTGAAAACTTATATAGGCCTTAGCGATTATAAAAATGCCGTGAAAAGGGTTCAGGCTCAATTTTGGTTTTTCGCGGTTTGATTTATTAATTAAACTTCGACCTTGCTCCCACCTTTTAACCTTGTCGTGTTTTTTTTTCTGAAGACAGGTCAGTTTTTTTTCCGTTTCTTTGCATTCATTATTTTTTTCAAACTCAGTTGGCTACGTTATACATCCTGCAAATGAACATTATTGCGAAAACGTTTGAGAATTTACTTTTAAATATTATTTCTGTAAAATTATGGTTTCTAGTATTTTCCAGATATTATGGAGTGCGCGGTGCCATCTTCCCAAAGTCCTGATCAGGAAAACTCATCACTCGTTCGACGAAATTCCAAAAATTTCCCGGTCAAGGCTACATATAATTTTAGCTTCAGAAGCAGTGAAGCTTGTTTTGCGGACATATCAAACATCAAACCTATCTTAAAACGAGACTCTCCAATGTTTCATATCGGAAATCGAAGTCCAGCAAATGCCCTTGAATATGATTTGAGTAATACAATTTTATCACCCGTTGAAGCCAGCCATAGTATCAGAAGAACTTGTTCTGTAGATGCACTTAATTCCTACAGTAGAAGAAGTCATAGAGACTATCGGAACTCTAAGGTAAGCGATTTGTATAGTTAAATTGTAATGAAGATAGTTGGAGTTCTATTAAACTGATTTTTTTTCTGTTCAAATTATGTAATTTTAGTTCTTTAAAAGTCACTATTGTTGAAAGCCCAGAAATGCCGTCTTGAATATTTTGTTTTTATAATCCTTTTAGTTATGCAAGTGTGTCGACGAAATTCGGCAGCATCGGAGACTCTCTTCTCTGTGTTCATATGGCGATGAAAATACGACATATAGAGACGTAAGTTTTAAGTATGATATGCGTCTTTCTGAAATCTAGATTATTGAAATCTAGATGTTTGTTTTTGGAAGGGATTTATTGTTCTTCATACTTGCAAGAGGAAGTGTCTTGTAATCGGGAACCTCACTTTTTTCTTTTCCCATGCAACTTTTCGTACAAATTTTCAACTTGCTTTATGATGGAACCCTAACAATTTCCAAGTTTTTTCCTAGTAGTAGTAGTAAAATACTTTATTTACCAAAAAAAGGAATTTCAATTTTAACGAAACAGATTGAGTTCGATCAGTTTAGAACAACTTGGCCTAAAGGTAGCGTCGTCGCCTTTGCACTCTAGGTCTGGGGACGAATCTCGGTCGGACCTTGTTTTTTTTCCAATATGTATGCAATTGAATTTTTTCCCCTTAAAATTTAATTTTCGGACTTTCGTTTGTAAGCTTTGAATTTGTCGGCTTAGTTGTCAGATCACGGTTTTTTAACGCTTGCGATTAGGAAGCGTTATCAAACCGGAATTTATACTTTTTCGGCTTGACAACTAGTTTAATAGAATCTCTTGAATCATTTTACCTTTGGTTCATATGAAATCAAAAGTCAGACGTTAATTCGCACATGTGGCAACGAGCTAATGCACCTGCCTAAAAAGACAAAGGTTAATGGTTCGAATCCGTCCAGGTCCTTTTTTTGTCCGCGCGTAACAAAAGCTTTGTTGGACATTTTTTAGTCTGCCTTTTTGTCGGATCAGTTGCCTCAGCAGCAAATCTAACTAAATTTGGGGCAATTTCTACTCAAATGAAAAATTAAGTGGCGCAAAGCTACGCTGCGCCTATCTGTGATGAAATCAATTCTTTTCCGGCTCAACTGAAATCTGCTAAAAGTCTTCTGGTTTTGTTTCCTCTTCGTAACTTTGGTTCGTTGCTTATTTGATATTAACCGTTGCGATAAAGAAGAAGAAGAATTTATTTCTCCATATAGTTGATAATACAAGCATCAATTTATTTAAATTATTAAATCAACAAAATGGAGGGCATAGACAAAAGGCGCAGTATGTGCCTACTTGACGTCTACCCGTTGAACAAATTATGATTGCAACTAAGTAATAAAGATAAATTTACATTCGAAAAAATATAGGATTGTGGGGAAAAAAATATTTTCCCCCTAAAATTAAGCCCTCATTAAGAAATAGTTATTACATCTAGTCCTGTCATTTCGGCCAATTCTCATTCCAGCTGACGAAGTATGAGAAATAATATGAAAAAAAAATAAGCAGGGATATTGCAATAGCGTCACCCTTGCGATAGGCAAGAGTATTGCAATCGGGTACTAGACTTTTTTTCCTAAAATAATTTTGCTCACAGGACTCATTTTATCTTTATTTTCTGGCATGCTCAATTTCTTTGAAAATTCAAATATAACTACTATACTTTAAGTAGTTATTAGATAAAGCCCGTTTCGGGTTCTATCTTTTTTTTTACAGAAAGTGGGTTCAGGGTTTTTAGGGTTCATGGTTTTCCTCCTAGTTTCCATCGGTTCATTTTTTGTTTGTTTTTTTAAATACCATTTTAAAAGTCTTAAGGTTTTTATTGGATTACTTCTCTTCCAATTTAAAGTTTTTTTTGCTATAACTGAAAGTTCAGCAATTCGTAAATTACCAAGTCTGATTTTGAGGTTTTTTTCATTTTTTTTGTTTTTAAAACATAAAGTTTTAGTTTATGTTGTCTCGGCTCAGTGAACTTAAGTAATTTCAAGGACAAAATATATCCGTATGCGATTTATTATGACAGCAGTTTTGTTTTCGCCTCAACAGTTTTTTTACCAAAGTTTGTCGCCTTTGTTGCCGCTCGGGAAATGATTTATAAAGACTGTTTATGAACTTCATCAGATTTAAAAATGAACATTTTGTAGCTGTAGTTAGTCCATATCTTCAAGTTATTTTTTCAAGGAATCTTTTTAACTTAGTTTTTCAGAATTTTGTTGACCTCTGTCTTTTTTCCATATAGTATTTTGTAACGTACTGTGTTTTTTTGCATCCCAGGTGTTGCGAAGCCTCGCTTCGCCTCTTTGTCGAATGTCTGGCACGTTTGCCTAGAATGAAGTTTCTTTCGATACAAATAAAAATTTAAATTTTTGTAGGCATAGTTTTTTTCAACATTTTTCATTTTTTCGACTTCTTATGTTTTTTTTTGTGTTTGTGTCCTATCGCAAGTGGTGCGAAGGAACGAACGCTTCGCCTCTGTGTTTCGGAACTATGTAAAAATTGTGATTATTTTTTCGAACATAAATTGTTGACTTAGTTGGCTTTGAGTAATAGGTTTTCCTTTCACTCTTTTTATTCAAGTCTTATTTGTTTTGAAAGTATGTTTTGGTTGTTTACAGAAGTTACGGATAAAGAAAGTTCTTAAAAGTTCAGGCAGGTCATTTGGTAATTCTTGTGGACGTTGTCAATTCTCTCCGAATGCTGGCAAAGCCCAACGACCTCTAAGCGCAACCCCTAACTCGAGTTCATTCAGCGGAAGACACTCAGTGATTGGATTTCCTATTGGATCGCCATTAGGTATAATGCTTTGCTCAAGTTTAAACAGTCTTCCGCTCAAATTCAGACTTTGAATGATCGAATTTTTAACAGACATGCCACGCGAACGGTCTTATGACTCAAGTTTCCATATTTTTCCGTTTTTTTTTGAAGAATTTAACGAGCTCTCCTGAATTAGTTGTTATTATTAAAAAGCACCGTGGGCATTTCTTTTGTGAAAATGTCAGCTATGGTTGCTCAGTCAAAATTTAGCCGTATTGAGTTAGCTAGATGAAAAACCCTTTGACAAATACTAGCTATCTAGGAAGGATGCAAGTCGCTACCTTCGTTCGATGGCAGCGTAGGGCTTTGAGCTGAATTAGAGCTGGTTAATGCCTAGTGGTGAATTGTGTTAAACTAGAATGGGGGGTTTAGGTAGTAATGGGCTACAGAATTTGTCTTTGACTCTCAGCTCAGGAAGTTCCCCTGTGGGAAGTGTAAGTCAACAACACAGACAAAGGAGTAGTATAGACAGTGCAATCGAACTGGAGTGCATTCCTACTTTCTCTTACGACACAGTGAGTTCACAAGAACATGTTTTATAAAATCAGTTGAACCGATCATATTGTACCCTCAAAACAAGGTTTAGACTCTCAATGACTAGATTTTACTTCATTAATTAGGAATATAGATGATTACTGTTTGAGTCTCTCACCTTTTGGTGTGTTTCATCAAACTGAGCGTTATCTTGGTCATCATCGCTCAGAGTTTGGAAAGCAATTCAAAACTTCTTTTCAAAAAAAGTAATTTGAATTGTTTTTTGTTGATGTGAAGTCAGTGTGATATCCTTTCAGAGCTTCAGTCTTCTCGATGGCCGCAAATGTCCAGTGGAGTTTGAGAGATTCTCAGCAGAGGAAAGGAGCTCAAACAACTGTACGAAATTCTTTTCTCTACTATTTGTAAAATGATGCTTGGGTTTTTTGTTCACGAAAATCGGGCATAACTGTTTGCAGTGTCCTCCCTGTTATGGCCGCCTAGTCCCCGCTGTCTAGGCTCATCTGCGAGTGGAGGAGGAGGGAGAAAGGCGTCTCTGAGTGGAGGCTGCTCCCCCAATGCATTCGCAAGAGAACCCCCCGCAGGCTGTGAGAGAGTCGAGGTCATACATGAAGACAGGTGTGATTTTTGAATTATTGGGTCTTGTTATTGACGTAAGAATGCGTAACATATGCTTTTTATGAAGTGTCAGTGAACATAGTGAATCAAAAGAGCATCAGCTCCGTTAACTAGTTTTTAATCAAACGTCAATTATATTGTTTATGCCGCCTACTGATTCATCCATTTCTTCAATTTTACAACTCGATATTACATTTATTACATTCGATAAACTTTAATTGTGCAGTAAACATGAAATCTTTGAGGGAAGATGTTTTGTATGTTGACGTAGATTTTTTCGTTTTGATTTCAGTTTTTAAACACTAGGGTTTGCCAATAACAATTTATTAGCGTGGTTGAACTTGTCAAATGAGAATTTTCGTTCTATAAGTGTGTTGGTGAATGAGACATGGCTGCTCTCGAAAAATTTCGACTTCATTTTTGTTAGCCTCATTGATCGTAGTGAGAACACTTATATGCGTCGTGTTAAAAATTTTTCTCCTTTCTGGGAAAAATTCACAAATTTGTGCGCAAATTCTGAAAGTTCAATCAAATTTCATTAGATTGATGGAAATTACATTATGCTCTTCAATAATGAAAGTGCAAATGAGGCGAAAGTTTCAAAAGTGGATTTCAATTTTAAGATTTCCAAGTAGAATGAAAAAGATACCTAGTTTTCAAGTTGATACAGTTTTCTCAAGTTATTTTTTATAGAAAAAAATGTCACTCATACAAATTTCTAAAAATTGAAAAAGATTAAAGCCATGTTTTTTTTTGTTTTTTGAGTTCCTTGAAGCTTTCAAATTGAGTTTTTTAAGGTGAGGTGGACGTAAATCCATGTTTCAATTAGATTTGATAATTCTCTTGCGAGAGCAAGTGAACTTGTAAATCGAAACTTTTCTTACAAGTCTTTTAGACCACCTTTCACTTGATCTAGTGGTAAAGAACAAGGCTTCGGAAGATAAAATTGAGTCCTGGCCAGCCTTGTATTTTCCGGATTGTGTAGAGATCAATTTTTTGGAGAATTTGAATGGTCGGATTATGGGTTCACCTTCAAAGCGTGACTTTCCTTGTCTTAAGAAATTGATAGTCGTTCTGTGATTTTGTCTAATCTACTTGTTATTTTAGCGAGTGTTTTTTTTTTTGCTTAAAGGAGAACATACTCGTTTGAAAAGAAAAAGATTGTTGTGCTTTTCAGGAAGATTAGAGCTCATACACTTCGATTTTCAAATTTTTGTAGCTCAAATTTATTCAATTCTAATTTTTTATTTTCGACTCCTATGACTTCTAACCAAGTTTTATCGGCGTAAATGCCGCTTGGCTGGTGATGTAATTGCTCATGGTTTTTCTTGAAATGTTTTCCTCAAATTGAAAACCATTCGAGACAAACAAGGAAATATTTGTAGATGCTTTTTATCGTTTTTTAAGAGTAATGCACGTAGTGAAGACTATTATATAGGTCTTGCTGTTTTTTTTTTCAAGAAAAAGTCTTAAAATATTGATACACTTAGGTATAATGCACTTTTGAGTTAATTGAAATTCACCTGCTGAAAGTGACCTAAATAGCACTCTCTAAATACGAACATGGAAATGGCTTGAAAAACGTGAACGATTTCTAGTTTCGAAAGTGGAATTTATTTTTAAGAATTCCCAGCGGAATGAAAACTTTGCCTATTGTTCCAGTTTTCTCAAGTGGGGTTCATGTTCTCAAAAAAGTGCCAATCATAAATTGTTCTAGAAACTCAAAGAGATTAAAGGCATCTGTTTTTTCTTTGAAATTCGAAAGTTGCGATTTTTTCAAGAAAGTGTTTTTTTTTTATGTTTACTTGCGTTCATTTCTGTTTTCCAATCTTCGATTGGCTATGTTTTTACCCTTGGTATAACAAGGGTATTGCAATTGGGTGTTAGACTTTTTCAATGAATAGTTTTCTTTACAGAATGGTCAAAATTAAAAATTATTGTCAAGATTCAGTTCATAATGAATTCCAATTTCTTTGCGTCTCCCTCAAACTTAGCCTGGAGGTAAAGAATGCGCCTGGGACAGCAAAAGATTTGTCTGCTTATGTTTTGTTGGCTTAGTTGCCAAATTGTAGAATTGTTTTTTCAGTTTTCTTACATTATAGTTGCTTTTAATTCTTACATTACTTAGTTCCTGGGTACATTATCTTCAGATGCTTATTTCACAATATTGGCATGTTTTTTTGTTTCAAAACTAGCCTTATTCATTTTGATAAATATACTTTTTTTCGACGTTTTCGAATTTGTTTATTCATTTTTTTGTTTTGTATCGCAAGTGGTGCGAGGCTCAGCTTCGCCTGTGTAAAATTTTCTTCGAGTTAGTTGTTTCCGTCTCAATTTCTGTCTGCTAACTAACAATTCTACTTGAGTTATCGCAAGTTCTCTGAAGCTCAACTTGGCCGGTGTATTATAATAGTGTGATGTGTTTCAGGGCTCTAGCAGATTTCTCGAACACTCGGATCTTTTTCGCTCCGGACAAAAAAGTGGGTCTGATTCTGAAGCCAAGTTCCAACTCCGCCTTCTGTCCCCTCCTGCCCGCCAAGGGAATAAACAACAACAATAACAGCAACACCAACTCTCACATAGATTTAGGATCGAACATTTCAGTTTGTACAACCGAAGGGACCAAGTAGAATTTTCAGAAAAACATTTTCAGCTGATTCAATCATTCGGTTTGCAGAGAATTCAATTCTAATCCTGGACAACAACATTCAATTAAACGCCGAGTTTCACAATTTTAAAGATTTTAAACAATCTGTTAGCGTTGAGAAATTTTTGACCCCGCGAGCCTGCTGATGCTGCTCAGCTGTTATAGTGAACTTAGTCAGTTCTGGTTATAAATATTTATATATAAGTTTTGCATGATATTTTCCGTAGTTAACAGTTACTTTATTATCTAGAATAGTTAATTGATTAGAATTTGCTGTTTGAAGCAATTTTGCTGTCTCAACCTGGTGTTTCAGACTATATATATTACGCGCCTGTTACTGAACAGGGGGACGCAAGCTCGACTTTTTGCTCCAGTTAAAGTAGCTTCTGCGACGATCTAACTCGTATTGATACTTGAGTTTGTTAATTGAAATTGGATCAGGCAATTTGCAATTCTAAGGTACTCTTTCTAACCTGGAGCTCGGACCAAAATGTTGCTATTACTCTAAAACCAGGGCTTTGGTTGGGCTCAGGTTTTCAACAATCTCATAATCCGGAAGGACCAAATTTTAACACATTGTCTGAAATTTGGTATGATTGTTTGTGTTAGTTTGCTCTACAACACTCATGAACATTTATTCCGAAAAAAAAACAATCATTTTTGAGCCTACACGGGAACATTTCGGAACGTTTTCGGGAAAATTTGGGAAAAAATATCGAGATTTTTTCAAATGCTTTTTGAAATTTTTTATGCTCAAAAGTTAGCCCATGGGACGATCTTTTCTACAAGCTATAGAAAGTTCCAATTGGTTTCAGAGCTACAGGTTTTGCCCACGTCGCTCGGAGCCTAAATCTCTCCCGAACTGGCATTTTCTTCCTGAAATTCAAATTATGCGACCTAATGGGGCATGATTTCAGAGACTCTTGAGCCCTTTCTCTGGACATGTGGTGAAAAATTGGCAAAAGAATTCGAAAACATAACAATTTATAGCAAAAATCTGAATTTTGAAAGTTTGAGACTACAATTACAAGAGAATTTTTTTTACATGTGATTGCATCTATTTGTGATCTTCTTTGTTGAAAAATTAGGTGAATACCGTACCGACATTTGTGAAGTTTTTTCGAAGGATCGGAAAAACTCTGACCAAAAAAATTGAAATTTCAAATAAAGAGATCATTGCTTTTTTTTCATTTCAAGGGAATCCATGGTGCTTCTAATGGTATTATATGATATCATCTCGGACAACTGGCATTCAAATCCAAAAAAATATATATGTTTTATGGCGTGATGTGATTGCATCAGTCAATTGCAACGAATTTTTTCTTTTAATGGAAAGCAGCAGGAAAATATAGATTTTTTCTATAATTCCGGCTTTCTTCCTGAACACCCACTCTTACGAACAACAGGCGTTTTCTTATTTCAGGGATTGCTGGTGGTGTCTTATTACTGAAAAATGATTATTCAATTCTTTCGATTGACCAGTCGTCAAAAGTTGTCTGAAAAGACACATGTTCGAACTGGTGTGTTCTAACTGAAAAATGACTGTTGAACTCTTTCGATTGACCAATCGTCAAAAGTTGTCTAAAAAGACACATGTTCCAACTGGTGTGTTCTAACTAAAAATGACTGTTGAACTCTTTCGATTGACCAATCGTCAAAAGTTGTCTAAAAAGACACATGTTCGAACTGGTGTGTTCTAACTGAAAAATGACTGTTGAACTCTTTCGATTGACCAATCGTCAAAAGTTGTCTAAAAAGACACATGTTCGATCTGGTGTGTTCTAACTAAAAATGACTGTTGAACTCTTTCGATTGACCAATCGTCAAAAGTTGTCTAAAAAGACACATGTTCGAACTGGTGTTCTAACTGAAAAATGACTGTTGAACTCTTTCGATTGACCAATCGTCAAAAGTTGTCTAAAAAGACTTTTGTTCGAACTGGTGTGTTCTTACTGAAAAATGACTGTTGAACTCTTTCGATTGACCAATCGTCAAAAGTTGTCTAAAAAGACACATGTTCGAACTGGTGTGTTCTAACTAAAAATGACTGTTGAACTCTATCGATTGACCCATCGTCAAAAGTTGTCTAAAAAGACACATGTTCGAACTGGTGTGTTCTAACTGAAAAATGACTGTTGAACTCTTTCGATTGACCAGTCGTCAAAAGTTAACTAGCACCCTCAGGGTAGCGTCTCACCCTCCCTACCTTGGCATCATTTTTGCGTACTTTCAGTATTAATGTGCGCATGCGCACACTCCGGCAATTTTGAATGGATGGCAGGGCAGCTGAAAACGCTTTCGCAAGACAAATGCGCCCTTCGGGCGCAATTATAATGCTCAGTCAAAACTGGACATGATTGCTTAAAAAACAACAACGATTTTTTTTATTTCCCGTTTTTGGATAATTGCGAGTCGGATGCTCTTCTACTGGGCCCTAAAGGGCCCACAGAGCATCCTGCAAGACAGTCAATCTAAAACTTTAAAAAAAAAAATTATTTTTTTCCCTTTTTTTTGTAACTGTTTTATCAATTTCATTATCTTCTGCAACACTTATGAACATTTGCGCCAGCTTACAATGCATGTTTTTATTATTCACAATTTCCATCTTGCTATATATGTCCTAACTACTGTAGCTCATGAAGGAAAGATCTGAATTGAAATTTTTTAAACTACTGTAGCTCATGAAGGACAGATCTGAATTGAAATTTTTTTAGAATCCATTATTTTTAGATTACAAAATTCTTCGAACCTTAGATAACCCTCGTAAAAAGTGAAATTTTTAATTTTTGCGAAAGCAAAAAAAAAGTTATGCCAAACGGTTTAAAGCATCATACCACATCTCCTAGGCACTATTAGAAAGTTCTTCTTGACCAACGCCGAAAAATTTACTGAATTAGAGATAATTGAAAAAATCACTTTTTGGGGTCTTTAAGAAAAGGGCAAAAACGACTAAAAACCATCTCAAAATTTAAATCATCAAAAAGTGGCATTAACAAACTGCCATTATTTCCGGGATCTAGGGTCGCATGCAAAAAGTTAGGGAATTCTAGCGGAGAGTTTTTGAGAACCCGTCTAATTTTTTTTTTTAATAGTAGGAACGTTAAACTGGCCAAATGTCTAATGTTCCGAGGGGGCCCCTACCCCCTCTCAATGGGTTTTTATAGCGTCGTGGGCACGCGCCCATCTAACCAGTCAGGTCTGCGTCCCACCCTCCCTACCTGGTGCAATTTTTATTGTTTTTTTTTTCAGTAACAATATGTAGCTTCAATAAAAGATGCTAAGATGCGCACACCCCGCCAGTTTTGATAAAATGAACAGGGAAAATAAGGAGGCTTTAGCATGTCAACTGTGACCCTTGAGCGTTATGATGATTATCACAAAAAAAGGAAAAAAAGCCTAATTAATTCAAGAATAACCTTGTTTTAAAATTTAGTTTTCGGAATTGAGGAGAGGGATGCTCTCCTACTGGTCTTATCAGCCCACATTATCCTACAGCATTGTCCTTAGAAATTGTTCAAAAAACGCATGATTTGTTCCCAACTTGTTTCAGAATTGTTGTTCTCAATTTTGCCAACTTTATTACATTTTTCAACAAACCTTATACTTTTCAGAGCGTTCACAAATATTTTTAGTACCTCAGAGGAAGATGACCTGCACAAGGAAAGTGAGACAAAAGTGAGACAAAATTGAATTCAGTTTCCTACTTCTTCCTATAATTTTTAAGGACAAAAGTGAGATACAATTGAATTCAGTTTCGTACTTCTTTCTATAATTTTTACGCAAATGGTGAAAAAAGGTCAACACGAAATTAGACCAAATCACCATTTCTAGTTGTTTTTTTGGTAATCGAACCTTCATATAAAACAAGAGGAAAGCAATTTTTTAAATCGGAACTAAGTCTTTTCAACTTTTTTATTTCAATGATGTTAAATTCCTAGAGGACTGTCTGAATTAATGAAAATGTTATTCAGGTTAAATTGAAGAAATTTGTCAACAATGAGAAAAACATGGATTGCATTTCTGACGCCGATAGGGTTTCACCTTAGATGAAAGGAGTAAAAGCAGCGGGAGATGGATTTGAAAGTTTCGGCCTTTGTTAAGCAAGAATCGATGATAATTGATAAGGTTGAGGAAGGAAGCACGGAAGCTTTAAATGAACACAACACGAGACGTTCCTGGGATAAGTAGCTTGAAAGTTACAAAAAATTGAAGTTAAAACAATTTATTAGACGAAACAAAAGATTAAGTGCGTGAGTAGTTTCACGTGCTCCAGATTGTCACTGCCGACCACCTCTGCGTTTTGGAAACTTCGGTCTGGGCAACTGTTTTCCCACAAGCGTGCTCATCATTATACTCTGTCGCTGGGACAGAAAATGAGCGGCGAAGAATTTTGTTTCTGGATGGAAATCATTTCCATTCAGATTCAGGGCGCGCAGAATACATTTACCGTCCACCTCATTGGCTGTGGAAATGCACCCTTGCGCGCCTTGGCACCTTTCTGGAATCGGTTTAAATTAAGACACCATTGTCTTCACGCCGGTTTATCTGCCAAACGCAGAGTACGGATAATTGTTACAAGTTTTTGTTTTAATTCGCTTTTGCTGGCATAAGTGCCACCAGACACGGTTTTTTGCAAGAAGTGGACGTGAATAGCACTCATACTTTTTCTGAAAAAAGGCAACAATTTAAAAGAGATATTTAAAAGGCCATGGAAAACGAAAAAAGAAAGCTAAATGCACGAACAAAGTATTATTTTACCGGTTGAAAAGCATGGAAGGAAAACCTGAAATTAGGCAACAATTTTTAAAAATGAAGACGTTATTATCACTGGGTAAAAGATTATTAGATAGGTCACCACTCCCAGAAAAAAGTTGATTTTCAAAACTTCCGCATAAAGTAACAATTGGGCAATTTATACTGGTTGTTTTGTTTGTTTTTCACAAACTTCGATTTGGAATAATTTGTGAAATGAAGAGTAAACATCGAGCGAGCAAACTTAAGAAATAAACGGTTTTCCCTGCACAACTAAAACTGTATTAAAAATCCCCTATTGGTCAAAGTGGAACAATAATAGTAAAAATTAATAGTTTCTTCTAGCCATTAAGGTTCCTGATCGTTTCCTTATCAACAGAAATATTCAACCGAATACTTGCACCAAAAAATCAAATACAGTTTGCCAGGCTGTTTTTTTAAAACAGGAGGAGAAAACAGGATGTTACAAATTGCATGACGTAAGTTATTTTAGGCAATGTGAGCCTTTGATGATAGCATGTTTGTACTACCTACTGACATAAATATGACACATGCATATATGTACAATGACATTTAACTGTGAAAGACGGTGAAAACTATGAGA